GTCTACAGCCAATGCGCCATAAAACTCATCCACCTTGATTGACCATTGGCTGTTCCGGCTCATCTCCCTTTCCATCTCTGTATTTGTGGAGACGGACCCATTCGTTTAGCAGCTATGGAAGTGAGGATGGGGAGACACGTCATCTCACATGCTCTGGGACATGGGATCAGGAGGGACTGGTCCTTGGGCAAAGGACCTCATGCTTGGTGGACCAGAGGGCCTGCAAAAAGGCGAGGGGAGAGCTCCCATGGGATGGACTGACCCCGCGGCTGCAGTGCCACACCATGGCTCAAACAGAACAGCGTGTGTGAGGAGGGCGAGGGCCTGGGCAGTGTGTCCTTCTGGGGCACACAGGGTTGTTATGGGTCGGGACGGACTCTATGGCGGCACCTCACCAGAGCCGCCCTGAGAGCCGGCGCAGTGGGACTGGGGCGTTGGGCTGGACAAGCGGGGCAGGTGAGTCCCAGCGGGCTGCGAATGGAGCCGACAGCAAGCTGGGTGGCCAAGCCAGTGTGACTCCAGGTGTGTGTGTCTCCCCTCCCCCCTCAACGTAGGAGCTGTCAGACCTGGACTTGACTCTTCAAGCGCCCAAGCAGAAGAGCGCCGTGCCCCGAGAAGTGCTCTTGGTCCTCTGCGTCAGGAAGGCCGTCTTCCTGCGGCTGCAGGCTCCAGGGACGCCCCTCCACCTGGCCTATGTGAGTGTGCCTCTCCAACGCGGTCCACCTCTGCAGGTCAGGGCCGTCCACCCCAGGGCCTCTGCTGCTACCCCTGTTCACACTGACCGTGTCCTGCAGGCCAGGCCTGGGCAGGAAGAAGTCAAAGGGCAACAGGGCCTAGATATGACATTTAGATCAGGAGGTGGGACTCCGGTCAAGATGCAAATCTGGCCCGACCACCTCTCTGTGTGCGCCCTTCTGCCTAGTGGGCGCAGGGGGCTCGCTGACATTCCGGAAAGCCATCTGGTCGCTGTCCTGGGAAGAGTTTTTGAAACTCTTTTGAGAAGACCCAGGAGGAGGAGGAAACCTAGCCAGGTGTTGTCCATCCTGAGGGCTGGGAAGTGGGGCGAGGAAACATTTTTATTTTGTCTTTGACACTTTTCTCCACCTGTGAGGTGTGCTGCTCATGAGCACGGGCAGCCTACATGGGAGAAAGTCATTTAAAAAAATGTAGCCATCAGAGAGGCTGCCGACAGCACACCCCAGATGCCAACATTGCAAGAGAAGGCAGGGAACCCCAGAGGAGGCCGGCACAGGGGAGCAAAGGCAGGGAGACACAGGGAAGAACGGAGGAGAGGGACAGACAGACACCCCAGGAGCCCCCTCCAGGAGGCCCCCAGACCCGGGGAGAAGAGGGGGCCAGGGAGGGAGACACAAGAGCAACAGGATGGGGGCAGGGACCCAGGCTGCACAAGCCGCAGGGAGGGCGCAGGCCGGTGCAAACATGGGGCCAAGGCGGCGCCG